AAGTTGAAGCGAGCTGTGTCTACCTGGTGCTTGTTGTTGGGTTACTGTCTCCCTGGGCCCAGAGGCTTTTGGCCTCTGGGGCTCTGCTGCCTCCTGGGCACCTGTCTCTTTTGCTTTAGATAATGGCATCGGTGATGGCAGGAAATGCTTCGGGAAACCTTTGAAAAACCAGGCACCAGATCTCTTCCACACCTGAGAAAAGAGGAAAAGCATATGTTTTACCGTCTTTTTCAGTGGATTATTGTTTTAATTGTAATTTTATCTCTCGGTTTAAAGCGCTCACCTCTCGCTGCTCTCTGCAGATCTTGCACAGCCACACAGCGCGTGGCCGACTGCCACACTGTGTGCCACACTTGGTACACATGTTCTACACAACAGATTAGAATAAAGATTACCAGCTGCTTGCCATTTTCAATGTTATTACAAATATACGGCTGACCTATTGGATTTTCTTAACCTTTAGCGTGAATCGCAGCAGAAGAGCTGACTTATTACCAACCTTTTTGCAGTCCTCGCACACCACTGAGCTGACCCCAGGTGAGCCCAGCTGCTCTCCACACAGCAAACAGCGGGACACTCCATCCCCACACACAGTCTTTTTCATGTCGTCCAGGCGGTTTATCAAACGCCTGCAGCAGCACAGAGTGAAATCTCACTTAAAATGTCAACAATTATTATCCCAAGTCAAAATATATGTGTGCAATCAGTCTCAGAAGAGAAACTACTGCAGGTCTTACCCAATTCTCTCCTGCTCCATGGCCTCCATTTTCTCAGCACGGGCGATCACACTGTTTATAATCTCCTTCTCTTCATCGGTGAGGTCTGGACCGGGACCGGGGCCTGGCTGCATGGTCCAGTTGCCCCTGTAAGCCAAGCATACTCTGCAGTTGAAGGTGCACTATATGATTTAACTATACCAATCACACATTTACATGCAGGCATTGAGCAATGAATGAATGAGCATGCATTTACTGCATCAGCACATTGCTGCCTAATGCAATAAGATAGGAGTTTATCTACTTACTGTTCTTTATCACTATGTCACAAATCACATATCAGACAGATGCAGGTGAAAAGAGGAAGGCACAGTTAGGTGTTGATGTGACCATATGAAAGGTTTACTAGAAGAAAAATTGTTCTGAGCATCAGGCTTACCTAGCGTGCATGTTCCTCTGCCTGTCATTGGACACCCAGCGATCTGAGCTGCTGCTCATCACTGTGTCTGTCATGCTGCTCTGTTGCAGTCTGTGGGATAGACAGAGAGACAGAAGGCATGGATAAATTCAGCATGAGGTAGTCAAACAAGCTTTAACTGATGTCATAAAAACTCTCTAGCTATATCTCAGAGCCACACTTTTACCTTTCCTGCACCCTTATCTCGTGCTTATGCAGCACCAACTTAATTGCCACCGGATTGCTCTCTCATCAAAAAAGTCATTTCCTACAAATGTGTGAGCCAGGACAGAGCCAACATCAAATTGAAAAGTCACCAGCTACACTTCCTTTTAATGTCACAGCGCAGGGTTAATTAAAATGTCCATCAGAAGCCAAAAAAAAAGTAGAATCTACAAAAATCAAATATCATTCCCAGAAAAGTAACTTTTAGCTTCTTCATCCACTTTGCTTCCAATGAATTTGCATAAGCATGAGAAATACACCAACTTTCAAAGAGGCTTGCATTGCCAGATTTACCGCCTAATCAGTATCGTGTCCTCTTGCCAAGCCTGTTTCAATATATAGTTCCAGGAAAATATTCAAGCAGTGAATGGATGCAAGAAAACATTTCAGAAACACCACAAACTGATCTGTAAAATACACGACAGAGCTACAGCGACATAAGCGTTTCCTGTAGGGGGAGAGACGCTTACTGGGCATACAGCAATGGGAACGACGCTCATGACAAAACGAGCCTTCTTGTTCATGATGGTGCAGAGTGAAATGATGCAATATGAAGTGAAGTGAGTGGTCTAGTTTGTTTGAATTTAGATGCGCCTTCACTGTCAGGCCTGTGGAGATAAAGTTGTGCAAATTGGGGGTGGCAAGGTCAGTTATTTGAGCAGCTGTTAGTGAAGCCATAAGAATCGCTTCCCGTTTGTGAATCTGCACAAATCAAAGAAACAGATGGTTACGTGCAGCAGGAGTCGCTCAATTATGCAAGGACACCACAGCTATGACTAAGAGTCTTTTTACAGCATTTCTGATTGGTCATAGTGTGTTAAGGCCTTTTTAAAAAAAAATGCCATCAAGTTATCAACTCGTTTGGCCCCAGGGATGTTGGTGAAGCTGGGTATGGAGGTGGGTGCTATGGGGGCAGGGGAGACTAATGTTTATAAGACTATTTATAAGACTTCACTTGGAACTTATTGACGCTCCATGAAGAATCTGAACTGGACTGTTTACAGACAAGGAGAGAGTCACTGTTGCCGAGGAGGATGCTAAGGATGGCTGTGTCATCAGAGTATTTAAAGTAAATGTCAGCTTTTGCGGTCACTGCAGTACATGATGCAAAATAAACCCCATAACAAAACAAAACAAAAAAAATAGACAGAGAACAGAGTGAGTACTAATAACGACAGTGAGAAAGAGTGAGTGGTTCATCCATCCATATGATACACTAGCAATGTAATTTAATCTCAGACTGACATGGTAAAGATAATACGACACCGTCGACAGAAATCACTGAGGCAATTGCCTACGAGTAAGACTGCTTTCTGAGTGTGTGTGTGTGTCTGTAGGCACTCCTGCGACTGACAGAGGGCTGTATCAATCCTCTGCCAGACAGTACATGGAGCGATTGGATCCACAGTGTATGTCATGAGGGAAAGTACTTGCATTCAGAGAAGACTGGCAGGTTCGAAACTGAAGCAACCAGACAAACTAAGAACCTTTCTTGTGCTTCAGATACCAGGAACTGTTATGGTGATCTGCTCTCTTCCACTGTGTGTCTTTTGTCTTGTCTTGCTTCACCCCCAACTGGTCAAGCAGATGGCTACCCATCTCTGAGCCTGGTTCTGCCAGAGGTTTCTTCCGGTAAAAGGACGTTTTTCGTTTTGCTCATAGGGAGTCGTTTGATTATTGAGGGTTTTTTGCCTGTATTATTTTAGGGTTTTGTCTTTACAATGTAAAGCCTTGAAGCTTTTGGGCTATTTAAATACCTTTTCATTTAATTTTTCAAAACTGAGGTGGTGTATAACATAAAACCGCCTGGTGGAAATCTGGCAGCTAATTAGGTAAAATAAGAAGCATTATTGTTTAAGAAAGAGCGAGCAGGTCAAATGTTTCAGAATGAAAGATGTGGAGACCATTTGTAGGGGCTACATCTGTGATGGGAAAGGGGCGAATCGGTGGGCACAGCATGGGTAATTAGCCCATCTGGGAGTAGTCAGAGAAAAGCTTGCTCATTTAAGCAAAAGAATACCAAACCAAAGTGTGCATGCTTTCTAACAACATGTCATCTTAATAAGAGTGTAAGTGCTACACTGGCCTGCCTGCAGTCCTGCCCATTGAAAACAGTTGGTGCTTTATGAGATGTAAAAATTTCAAGCACCTAAGATCTATATCAGGGAAGACCTGAAAAGTACTCTGCTCTTAAAATTACAACGATCATTCATCATGGTTCCCAAGTTGTTGAGTGTTTTAAAGCATGAGGTGATGCAAAACAGTGTTGATGTTGCCTCTCTTTTTTTGCAGTGTTTTGCTGGTATATCAAAATCAAAATGTCCATATATTATTACAAAAATCATCATTTTTGTCACTTTGAAGCTTTGGTATGTTGTCTTTTAACTATAAAAACGTAAATAAAGCCTATTAAATGATTTGTAAATTGTTGCATTCTGTTTTTATCTATACTTTATGCATCATTGCCGCTCTTTGGATTATGAGGTTTAATATGTTGGGGGCGGGATTTAGCCAAAAATGCACAATGTTAATGACAAAAAAGGAAAAATGAGAAGTCACTGTGGTACTTCTCTTCAGCATTTCAAAGCAGGAAAATCCAGCATTGTAGAAACTTGGAGAGAGTAAAAGCAGTAGCAAAAGGGAGGGGTGCACCACTCATTCAGCTGCTCATATTATACTCCGTAACGTCGGGCTCCATACCTTTTGAGGTCTAATCTGTTGTACGTCTGCCTGCAGGATTCAAGAAATTCGCTGTGCTATCAATAGGCACTCTGGGTGTGGGCTTTTCCTTCTGATGCAGCGCCTGCATCTAGCCAACACTAGCAGCACAGTCCTCAGGGAGCCTGGTCTTTTTCCACTTTTTCAGCAGCAGACTGACAGATCAGACATAACTCTGACCACACCGTGTATTTTATGCACTGACACTCTGAAGTGCGGCCCTCCTTCACTTGCCAAAATAAATTACGGCACTTTTGTCGAACATTATTGTCCTGCAGAGGTGGGTGGAGAGAGACAGATGGGAGGCTACGTTAAGACTTGGGCAAGGTAACGACTGACTCAGACTAGCCCGAGCTCCCTGCTCGGGATAGATATTACTGCATCACAGTAGTGGGTTCTTTGCTGAAGTGACAAACCAATTAATATTCAGGAGATAGTCTGAAGGATCACATACACATAAAGAGCTGTCACTATAGGATGTTATGCTTTAGCTTTTGGAAAGTAGTGCTGGTTTCATTGGTTGTAGTTTAAATTCTCTCAAAAGGTTTTAAATGTACTGTAACTTTGAAAATTGTATCCAAGACCAATTATAATGAACTGTCTTGCCCAAAATGTCATACTGGGCCTTGTTTCTGACATAATTTTAACCCTCAGACTCCATCCTCTATACTTCTCAGCTTAACTGGTAAAAATGACTCAGTCAGGTGGTGGATTCCTCTCTGAGGAGAAGCACATATTCTCTGTTATTTATTAATTTGTTGTTTATTCTTCTGCAAAAATGTTATGAAACCTTTACAATGGGAACTGTGCAAATGGCCACACCATACCGCCAGGAGTAGCTAGTAACAGATCATGTGTGAGATGACAGCAGGAAAGACCAGAGGGAGAGCATCGACTCAAGACTGATCACCATAAGTCATGGATGCAGCGGGATCTCTCTATAGAGAGAATTTCATATGGGGGTGGAGAGGACCGATTTAGAAACCTGTGTCTCCTCCTCAGGGCCTGAGAGACTAGTCAATACAAATCTGCATCTGTGCATCTTCAGGGGTCTACGTACACACAACTCCCTGAGCACAGCCTGGATGTTTTGCATCAGCTTTTAGCAAACACAGCTATCCATTCTTCAGTTCAAGAAAATCATCAGCAAGAGTAACCCATTTCGAGTCCAGTCAGGCACTTTCACAGATTAATGTTGTTGTATATCTTTCAATAGTAGGAGTATGACTCATTACTGCAGAATATATGACTGGAAAACCAACAGACTGGGAAAAAGCACCTTGTTACAGTAATGTCTTGAGTTTTCAGTACTTGCGGAAGGGAGAGCTGAGGAAAGCAGGCAGTGACTACAAGTCAGTGGGGCTTCTTTGGAATGATTCACCATGGGCCACTGTAAGTGGGATGTAAGGATAGAGCGAAGCTACCTCCTGTACTGAAATCTGCAAACAAAAGCAAGGATTTACTCAAATAATATACAAGCACTTTGTGCTCTAACAATACTGCAATTTTTAAATTGGCATTGATCATTATTTATGAAAGAAACATGAACGGTTCGCAAATCTATTTTGATGAAGCAGACAAACTAAATAATCAAAATTACTGCCAAATGCTAAACGTATTATCTTATTCCGAATTTGATAGAGGACAACTGTCTGCAGCGTAACCAAGGGCTTTATCAATCGCCTGACACCCCGCTACATGTCCTACTTATAAATGTATTAAATATAATGACACTGAAACGCTACAAGGTACTACACTTGAATTCCAGGGCAACAATTCCCTCGCCATCCTCCACAAAGGATATTTGTAAAATGGGTTAATGAGAATCAGAGATCAATGCAGATTTACACAATTGGTTTCCCTTTGATTTATATTTCATGTGTTCAAAAACTTTTGAATGCATAATGGAGGTTCTATTAACAATCTAACATACTCAACACACAAAACCAGCAAACAAAGAAACAAAGATTATTGTGAAAGGTGAACGGCAACGTCATCGCTAAAAAACATGGTGCAATGCAAAATACAACAAATCACTTTCAAGTTTTATGATAAAATCATAAAGAAAAAAGAAGGACTTAAAGGAGGGTTTAAGAAGTGACGAAACATATTTTACTTCATCCTGATTTTTCCTCCTCTACCATCTGGTCTGGCAGTAAGTCAGATTGTGTTATGTATTATGAAAGAAAACACAAACAGGTCTTGGTTGGCCTAAAGTTTTAGCTCAAGTCCTGTGGTGATCTGGAACATCATGCCTTCTTTTTTAATTCACTTCCTCACACACTGACTTTTTTGCCAAATGCTAATTAAATACAGCAAAGTAAAACATTCTGGGCAGACGGAAGGCGCAAGCGAGCAGCATTGCCGGCATATGGATGAACTACTATCACATCCTGAGAATTAACCACTACTCGATGAATTTGAGTACGAGATTAGAATGATGGAGAAAACAATTTAATGTTGAAAACGATCTACTTTTGGAAAATGATGGATGGTCTGTAAAAACAAGCCAATATGTGAGCTGTCTATAGACCACTCAAGTTCTCTTCAAAACACGAACTACTCAACAGCATTTTGACTCACTTGTAAGCTACATGTGATCAGAAAAGTACAACCAGCTGCTCCTTCGCAGTCAGCGGTGACGTGTGAGGTAGAAACTGAAGGTCTTTTCTTATAGGCTGTAAAATGTTCTGTGTTATATTTTTGATTAGGCTATAAACACAAGATTGGAGTACACTGTGCAGTAAGGGTCATGAATGGTAATTGACTTGCCACCTTTAGCAGTAAAAAAAGAAAAAAAAAACTGAAACAGGAACGCCTGCAACCACAAAGTAAAAAGGAAGAGTCAAATGTGCTCCAGTCATTCGCATCATAAAATCACATCTCTGCATGTTGTAGTTTGGAAGACAGGATAACCACTTTAGCCCATATTTGTTCTCAACAACTATTAAATGTGTGGGGATAAACAAAAGCTCCTGATTTCAACAGGATGAGTCCAGTAATTTGATAACCAACTCATTTTTATCTGCAGTTTAAGGAGCTGACTTATCACAGGAAATTTCCCAACATCTGTTCAATGGATTGCAAAGCTGACACATTATTTTGATTGCACGGTATTGCATGATTATATTGTGTAAGTGTATACTCTTTTACTTCAAAGCAAGCATCCCATTCATCTGTAATGTATATTTGGCAGTTCTTAACGCAATTAAAACATCTGATTTCTCAGATTTTATCAAAGGAAACATATCATGACTTGACGTTAAATAAACAGCGACGCCAAATTTAAATAAATTAAATCTAAATCGCAGAATTTAATTTATGATCATTTGGATTTATAAACTAAGTAGCTTAACAGATCTTGATGTCAAATTCTCACAATGTCTCAGAGTGAGTGGGGAGAGGGTAGGAGCCACCAAAAGGTAGCCACCCACTCCCAGTAGCATGACAAAACTCCATCCATCCTCCATAGAGGACTGTGAGACGGCAGCATAGCAACACACTGAAAGTTGGACCTGGGCAACACTATAAAGCACTGCACCGTGAAATGTTCTGCTGCAAGAGGAACACATCACTCAGCATTTCTTAATTATTTACAGCTCCCACCCTCGTTGCCATTCACTCTGTGTAAACCCTCTCCTTAAGGCATTAGTGTACGCTTTATGCTCTGACCACTATCAAACAAGGATTTGGGGAGGAACAGATCACATCGGGTGGAACAGATTGAGAAACTCTGTTTAGGGCAACAGTGTGGATGTTAGTCTTTTAGGTCTGTCGCATTGACAAATTATCCATGCTTTCACTCAGACAATGGCGCTGACAGGGACCATCTGCAGAACCATCTGCGAGGACTCTTCACCTCTCAAATGTGAGAGCGTTGTACCATTTTAAATACACACAACTACATCCTCTCGGCAGGCATGGATCCAGGTCCCGCATCGTTGGAGAACAAACAGGAAAAACCATCCAGTGACCAAACAAGCTATCATGCTGATACCCTGCTATAATTGTTGGCTCCATCCAGTCAACCTAAATCTGGCTGGTGCAGATTTTTTTTTTCTTTTATTCAGAAATCACAACAAGGCTGAATTTGCAGTCGACATCCAACAGATCCTAGCAATCCTCAGATTTAGCTGAAAACGCCATCTGACCAGCATATTGATTTACATATAATTCAGATTCAACTTTTAGACTCAAAGGGAGCTGAAGAGAAAGTCTGAAACCTTAACCATAAAAAAAAAACAGAGAAAAAGAACAGTTGCTTAATCAACAACAAAACTCCACATGGCATAACATCTGCCATCAGTTAAAGTGCAATACTGCCACCCACTATGCTTAAGTGTCAACGTGATAGTTACTGGTGCTGCACTATTTTTTTGTGTGCATTATTAATATTCTTTAAATATTTCATATTTTAAATATCACAGTTATCACCAACTCTGTTACATCACAAGTCTCCTAATATAGCAGAGAATGCTTTTTAAAGCTAAGTCAGTCAACAGCTACAGGACGAGGGAACACTTGATTACCGGCACTCTAGCAAGAGCCTGCAGTGAGTTTCAGATTTGCTTGGCTGATGGTGATTCATCCTTGTATGCCCCAGAAGCAAGAGGTGGGACTGGCTGCTGATGCACCGGCTGATTACGTTCCCTCGGTTTCTTCAAATCTTATGTCAGAGGTAACAGATAGGGGTATTAAATGTCTGTTTGTAGTCTTATGAGACAAAACTACATGGTTCATAAGATGAAAGAAAACACGTCAGGTCTCTCTTAGGCTTACTGCCGTTACTCTCTCCCCTGTGAAGATGTGGTTCAGCTGTTGGATATCTGACTCTCCCTCTTGTCCCACTAGCAAACTAGCAGGTACAATGCCCCTGGGTGTTTTTAACAAATCTGTGTTGGCAAACTGTTCTGGCCTGGAAGCTGCAACACTAACAGCAAGCTTCTTTGCAACTTTTGAGAGAAAAACCTCTGTCGGGAGGCTTCCTGTAGGCGTTACTCTGAAGACCATCATTGCAGCTGCAACATATGTAAAGCGCTGATTAGAATGAGTGTAAAATAAGGGTCAGGGATTGGAAAGGGTAGTGGAAAGGTGGAAAAGGAGTTTTCGAGATAAACTAGTGTTAATTCTATTTTGGATGTTTAACTCCTCACTCTGCTGGGGGAACTTTGTTAAAAGGCCACATTCATTACTTCTGCTTTCTCCAATATGCCACACCATTTAGGCAGCTCGAATCACCACATTTGGATAAGTAAGTGAATCAATGCTTATCCACCGCTGATGAGAATAAGAAGATGAAGCCACTCCCCTCTGGAGCTTGGACACAAATGGCAGAATAAAATCTCCTCTAACAGAATTTAAACACAGAACACAAAATCTGCGTAGATTTACAGTAAAAACTGTGTGATTTAGGCCCGAAGCTGCATGCATAGATGGTGACGAGCACAGAAAAACATGGAGTCATGCACCTTTACCAACTGTGGCCATGGTAACAGCAAGATCAGAAGATGAGAATGAGAGTGATTAAACTCCATGTGTGTGTGTGTGTGTGTGTGTGTGTGTGTGTGTGTGTGTGTGTGTGCGTGCGCTAAATTTTCAGACCCATGCAGACCAGGTCATTGTTACAAATGTTGTAAAGTAACGTGGTTAAAGAAGAAGGGTATGGCTGCCTTGTATGCTTGTGTGTTAAATAATGCATGCAGCATGCAAAGCACTTCATTCCTCCATCTTTCCCCCCCCCCCCCCACCTTTTCTATAAATACCCATCATTCTTGCTCTTTTACTCTTGTTTTATGTGACCAGATGTGAAAACAACTGATCTCCTCCTATATTTTTTCTTAATTTCATTCCTTCTTTCGAAAACAACAATAGGCTAGCAGGCAGGGAGAAAAATACAAAGACAGGGGACATCAGGATGAAGGTGTCGTTCAATCACTACTGGGGCTGCTTATGTGCAAGGATGCAACTGCAGATATCGCTCAGACCATTCATTCAGTCTTTTCTCCCTTCCCCCATTTAATCCACATGCTTCAGGTCTGTAGGAGGAGTTAGGAGATGGTGGAACTGGAAGGCAGAGCCCAGCTTCCTTTCTCTGTCCTCTTTCCATATTAATGTCAGAATAAGAATGAACTAGTCCAATCCATTACAGCGCGCGTGCGCGCACACACACACACACACACACACACACACTGCTTGGACATTCCAGGTTTAATAATAATAAGAGCCCTAGGGTGCAGTAAAAGATAACATCACAATAAGTAGTCAACTGATTCACCTGCTCTGTGTCACAGCTGGAGTTGAGAAGCAGCCCTCCCCACATCAGTGATCAGCTTGATGTTTTTCCTCTATAGTCTGCAAGCCTCCAGCGTGCGCTCCTAAAAAACCCTGCAGCAACGCCCAGGGACTGCAACCACACAGTCTCCCACATGACTTACCAGGTCTGTTTTCTTACATCAGATCTACAACAACAAAGCACTTCATTTGCAGGAGGAGCCGGGCTCTAGTCTTGTTTTATTAAATCTTTTTTATAAAGGGAGATGGGGGGCTGAACCTACTGAGGTACACCTAGAGTGTAGCCATTCATGAATAAACTTAGTCCATAATCATAACACCAAAGTAGGTAGTAGTAAATCAGTGCAACACCAGCTCTGCATGAATGACAGCAAAAAATAAAATAAAATAAATAAATAAAATTCTGCAGCAGGATCACGTCTTCAGAATGATGTACCCCCCAAAACACAAAGGATTCACTGAAATGTTCATTGTTATAATTGAAAGCTATAGGTTAATTATCAGCACGCATACTGAGTGCACTGCACACTCCCTCACAATCCTCCCCTTCATTCAAACGACTCAGTAAATAACAGGCTAATAAAAACCCATGATATGTGTTCCAGCAAATTAATAAAAACAGGCAATAAAACGAGCTCCCTAGTAAGCGATTTCTATTCCCCGTGTCTTCTGAATGAAATGCTGCATCCATTCAACTTGCACAGGCTAAAGAGAAATTACAATGGGCTGTCCAAACGCAATAATCTCACAGAAATGTTTCGGGTGAGGATGTAATGTTTGAAAATCCTTCGAAGGAGATCGCACAGCCTACCTGTGAATCCAGCCCTGCCTCTCTCAGGGAGCTGTCAGGGAATGATGCGGACTAAATTTCTGTGCAGCGCTCGGATCCGACCACGGAGTTAGTCATTGCGCATGGTGCTCGTCACAAAAGCCTGTGGTTTTATTTATTTATTTTGCCTGGAAGAGTAATCTGTTGCTGAAATGCACAGTGGATCACCCCAGTGCGTGGGAACTGGTCTTCTATCCTGTGCGGAGGATGGAAAGCCCTTGGTACCCTGGGCAGGAAACCCCTGGATGTGAAGTGATAACACTGATGCTCAAGTAGGCAGTCATCACCTGATCCAATTGTCTCCATAACACATTGTCTAAATTTGTCTCGTCATCCAACAGTCTGTCTTTATGGCGCGTAAACGTGGATTATAGCTTTAAAGGTTGTTTTTTTAAGCCGTTTTTTATTTGAGTCACTTTTTAAAAATTATATTAAACAACCATGGGGTTTGTTTTTATTCTTCATATGTATGTGCCTACAAGCTTTATGTTTTCTGTAAGATAAAATTAGCAGAAACTTTTATTTCCCCTGACGCATCTTCTTCTTTTTCTCCTTTTTAAAAGATAGTTTTAACTATGTAATTTTCAAGAAAAAAAAAACAGTAAAGTTCCAACATCAGTGACTCAATTACCGGAGTTTGCCGGCGATTGAATCCTACTGTGAAGATACTGCGCCATCTAATGGATCGAAAAATAATTGCGCGAGGAAAAGGATGAATGCATTTCTTTAGTTGAAGGTTTTGAATTAATCTAAAAGGATTCATTTTTTTTATTATTATTCTAATAAGTTATTTGTAACGTGAATGAAATCAACAATCGTCACGGTCATAAATAACCGTTGGCACAGTGGTTATGGCCTGCACTTTATGGTTGTTACAGTGTAGAGTTGC